AAAACTTCTTATTTAATTGCAAAAATCAAAAAGCCCTATGTGATAGAAGAAGATCTTGTGTTACCTGCTGCTATTAAATTGTCAGAAATAGTTCATGGGGAAAAAGTATGGGGATGAAATTCGTAAAATTCCTTTATCGAATGATACTGTTTATAAAACATTTTCTGAAATTAGACCAATTCCAGCAGCTTATTACCAGGCTTAAGGGCAGCCCAAAGTTTGCAATTCAGTTAGATGAAACAAATGATATTTCTAACATGGCACAGTTGTTACTTTATGTAAGATGTTTACGAAGGAAGCATACATGAGGAATTATTGTTTTGTTGCCCTTTGCAAGGGCACACAAGAAGGGATGATATATATCTTAAAGTTGATGAATTTTTCACAAATGAAGGTTTACAGTACAAAAATTGCATTGGAGTCTGTACAGATGGTGCTGGAGCAATGATGGGTGAGAATGTTGCATTTGTAGCAAAAGTTAAAGTGGGTGGAAATGAACATATGACTTTTGTTTACTGCATGATCCATTGGAAGGCACTCGTAGCCCAAAAAAAATCACCAGAATTAGATGTGCTTTGCGATAATATCAAAATCATTAACTTCATTAAAACCCATGCCCTTAACAGTTGTTTGTTTTCAAACCTTTGGAAAGACGTGGACTCTGATTACAGAAGCTTATTACTACATGCAGGGGTAAGGTGGCTCTCAAGAGGGTGAAGTTTAAACAGATTATTGAAATTGAAAGATGAAGTTGTTATATTTTTGACTAAGCAGAAATCCAATTTTGTTAATTTTTTTATAATGATTTATAGCTTTCAAAATTGTATTATTTGTCAGATATTTTTTTAAAAAACTCAATGATTTAAACATGTAGCTTCAAGGAAAGAATTGTAACATATTTATGTCAAAAGATAAAATTGAAAGTTTTACTTAAAAAGTTAGCATATGGAAGAATAGGGTGGAAAATGGTTCATTAGAAATGTTTACAACTACAAATGATTTTATAATTGAAAATAACTTTCCTAAAGATTTAATTTCGAGAGTTATAATTGATCAACTGAAGTGCCTGGAAACACAGTTTCAGAAATACTTCTCTTCAAATTTTGATTCTAAAAAACTAAGTTGTATTCATAAACAATACTCAGTTGAAATAAAAAACATTAGTCATCTCCCATTAGAAGCTCAAGAAGAATTTGCCCAGTTATCAAGCGTGACACAGGTTTAAAACTTGAGTTTCCTAAAACATTGTGAAATGAATTTTGGCTTGGGATCAGGACAGAATTTCCAATAATTTCTGAAATGGCCCTAAATATACTTCTGCAATTTTGTACTATGTATTTATGTGAAGTGGCATTCTCAGCATTGATAATTATAAAATCAAAATATCAATCAACTCTGAAAAACACGGAAGATACTCTTTGTCCTGCAGTATCAAATATTCTGACAAAATTTAATTCTTCATGTAAAAATAAATAAGCACATCCATTCATTAGTATGCAAATTTGTTTTCATCTTTAATAAGTGGTAAAATTATACATATACCAAAGAATTGTTTTAAAATGAATTTCTTTATGATTTATTATCGGTAAATGTTTGATTTGTATACCTATTTTATATACCTATATACCAGGGATCATGTAAAAATTTCTTGGGGGAAAAGGGGTTACAAGTGAAAAAAGTTTAAGTCCTGGAGTAGAAGACTGGACGGGTGAAGGGATATAAAAGGTAAAAGGCCTGACTGTGAGAGAGCAGGACAATAATGAACCATTTATAATGTTGTCTGTGGCCTTATATGAATAAGGAAAATGACCAATGTGCTAGTCCTTGCCTCCCCCCAATAAACCTTAGGAGTTCCTTATTAGCTCTAGGATCAAATATAAATTCCAAATGTATCTAGAATTAAAAGTTTTCACCACCTGGTCTTTTTCTATCTTTCTAGACTTTTTTTATACATTGTTCCCTTTGATGCATTTTTATGATTTAGCCCATTGGCTTACTTGATGTTCTTCACATCACACTTCATCTCTTATCTCAGTGCCTTTGCAATGACTGTTCCCCCAAATCAGGAATGCTTTTCCTTCTCACCTCAAACACCACTGAAATGGATTACAATTTACCCATTCCTTCTTATCGTATGTACTTACCTACCTAGTTTCTACATAAATCTCCTGGAGAGGGTCTACCCAACACATCATTTAGGCCAAGAATTCTTAACCTGGAGTCCTTTTTGGAATCAAACAATACACATGGTGGTTGTGTGTTCTCTAAACATCTCAGTTGATTGTATGGCTGAAAAGATGTAATCCCTGGTGGAAAATCTTACAGAACCACGACCCAGTTCTTCTGATACTAAATTCACTATTCTATCCACTACAGCACAGTTGGGCTCTGCATTGTCACTACAGTAACTGCAGTAGCCCTGTCACTCACATTTACATGGTGTGTTAAATGAATCTATAAATACTGTACATTGAGCACATAATTTCATTTGATAATTTATATAAAAAGGAGCTTTCATGTAGACATCAGAATTGGAACCATAGAGTTGTAAATATTCTCAGAGACCATCTAATCCAACCTGTACCTAAATAAGAATCTCTTCTCATTCTCAACATACTCAACCAGCCTTTGCTTGGAGACCTCCAGGGAGAGGGAAACTCCTACCTATAAAAGTAACCCATTCCCCTTTTATATAGCTCTAACTGTTGGGAGGATTTTCCTTATATTAAATCTAAATTTGCCTCTCTTATATCTTCTACCCATTGCTACAAGTCTGCCCTCCAGGGTCAAGAACAAATTTAAACACTCTTCCCCATGATAGCCCTTCAAATACTTGAAGACAGCTGTCATGGCCCCTCTAAGTCTTTTCCTCTCTTGGCTAACCTTCCCCACAAGTTTTTATCTTTGGAGAACAATCTCAAGATTTTTCATTATTCTGGCTGATTTCCTCTGGATATTCTCCATCTTATCAATGTTCACTCTAAAATGGGGCACTCAGAACTGAATGCAATACTTCAAATGTAGTCTGACCAGGGCAGAGTACAGTGAAACTATTACTTTCCTAATTCTGGATCCTATGCCAATCTATGTAGCTTGAGATTGCATTAGCTTTCTTGGCAGCCACATCACTATTGACTCTTACTGAGCTTGCATAATACAAAACTTCCCACATCTCTTGCAGATGGACTGATGTCTAGTTATGACTCTTCCACTTTTTACTTGTGAAACTGAATTTAAAAAAAAAGATTGTCTTTACATTTATCCTATTAAATTCCATCTTATTAAATTTAGTTCAGCGTTCTAAACTTTCAAGATCACTCTGAATGCTGATTCTATTCATCCACTATTAGCTGTCTTTTCTAACTTTGTGGCACCTGCAAATTATATAATAAACATGCTATCTACCTCTTTATCCAACTCAATGATAAAAATGTTAAACAGCATAGGACCAAGCACTTTCCAAATTGACATTGAACCAGTAATAACTTTTTTTGTTCCAATCATTAAACTAGTTCCTAATCTGTTTAACTTATATAATTGCCTAGCCCTCATCTTTCTACCTTGTCCAGAAAATTAGCATAAGAATCTTTATTGTATGTTTTGCAGAAATCTAGGTAAAGTATATTTACAGCATTCCTCTGATCTATCAATCTGTGTCATTAATGTGGAATGACCTTGATGAATAAAAAGTGGCTTTTTGTGATCTTTGCTTTCTTTTCTACATGTCAACTACCACATTTTTAGAACTGTGTCAAGAGTTGAAGTCACTTAGGCAGCTATGTGGTGAAATGGATGGAGTGCTGGACCTGGAATATAAGTTCAAATCAGGGCTCAGAAGCAAGTCAATTAATTTTTGCCTGCTTCAGTTTCCTGAGTTGTTGTTAGGCTGGTTAGATAGAATTTGCAAATATAATATTTGCGAAGTGTTTTTTAAATCTTAAAGCACTATATAAATGCTAGCTATAAAGTCAAGTTTGCTAGTTTCTTAGTAGATTCTATCCTTTTCTTTTCCTTTGAAGACTGAGGAATCTTTATCCTCCATTCCTGCAGTAGTTGTTCCATGCTTCAGAGATTATTGACTATCTCAGCACTCACACACCAGCTTTTTCAGTACCCTGATATAGTTCATCTGGTTTTGATGCCTTAAGGGAGTAAGGGCAGTTCATGTTCACTTATGTTGGGACATAAGACTGTTGCTAAAGAATGGGAAAGATCCCTCAGATTAGACAGTAGTGAGGGAGGGTAGACTTCCAGGCGGACAGAATGAGGTGAGCAAAGAAAGGAGAAAAATACAAGGGGATATTAAGCAAACCCAGTCTTTTTAAAGCAAGGGATGCCTGTAAGGGAGTCTGACCCAGATCTTTAGAGTAGCAATTTGGGGCAAGATTGGGGAGGGCCTTGAAGACCACTTAAGGGAATTGTACTTTCTCTTGTAGCTAACAGAAAGCCACGGAAGCTATAGTTTATTAAATAAACACTGGAGGAACTTTTCCCCCAGTTTTTTTTTTTTGCAGGTGAACAGCAAAGTCAAAATACAGAAAAACAAAAAATTATAAAAATATACTTTGGAGATTTGCTTCAAATGGGTATTTACTTTCAGAAACACCTAATCATTCCTGCATTTTAATAACCATCGTGCCCTAATTAAAATGTAAATTAAAAGTTGCAATGACAGCTCCCAAGTGAGAATAAGGTATATGGGGAGGGGGGGGAAGAAGAGAAAGGGGAGTGCTTTCTTAAATTCACAAAGCTGACAATAGGCATGAAGATCTACTAGAAAGTTGAAGAGGAGAGTGGAGAACCAACCGAAGGGCAGTCCCAGGATCTTCAGCCAAGTTGCCCGCCACCCCAAACCCTCAGGGCTTCCAGCATCCCACCACATCCCAGAAATCGAATGACTTTCGGAGCCTACCAAGGAAGTTTGTCTTTCCTCGTCCGCCGTCTCCCGGGTGTCTTTTCGTAGCCAATCAGGATGACGGGCAGGTGGGCTAGCAGGCCGGAAGAGGCGGGCCCGGGGATTGTGCGCGCGGTAGGTTTGCGGCCTCTCAGCCATGGAAGAGATCTTTGCCAAGTTTGTGTCCCAGAAGATCAGCAAAACCCGCTGGCGGCCGGTGCCCCCCGGGAGTCTGCAGCCAGCCGAGACCTTCGCCACCGGCTCTTGGGACAATGAGGTATCCTCCTGTCCCTTGTCTCATGGCTGCCAGGTTCCCGCAGGTCCCACTCCGCCTTCCCGTCCCGCCGCATCTTCCTCGTGCTTTCTGGACCGAGCCCGGCCGTCCCCTCTCACCCTACCCAGGCAGGCGGGGCAGCCCTCGAGCTTCACGCTCCCTGCTTTGGGCCCGTTTTGAAAGGATCCCCTTCACTCCCGGTCATAGGTAACCGAGCCCGGAGGGATGTGGGGTATCATCCGTTCCAGTTCCGCTCAGGGAGGTTAGGCTTCTTGCCCCAGGCCACACAGTAAGAAATTTAAACGCAGGTTCTCCCACTTCGAATTTAATTGCTCTTTCCCATCCCTACGCTTCTTCGTGGGAGCGATTCCACCTTGCTTGCAGCCCTCCTACAAATGTTTGCTATTAGAAATGTATAAATTCCGTGGGGGTCTTTATCCCAACCCCTGCTCACCAATGAATTGAGTCCCCAGAAAACTAGCTAGCTACATCGGCCCCTGAGGGCTCTTTCTCTTGTCTAGGTCGCTCTAAAATGCCTTCCCTCTGAGATTACTTAGAATTTATTTTTCTCTTGTCTTTTAAAAACTTGTTTGCATACTGTCACTCTCTTTAGAATGTTAACCCTTGAGGGCAGGGACTGTTTTTTCTTTTTTAATATTCCTAGCACTTCGTGCAGAATCTGGTACATAGTGAGCACTTAATAAGATTGTTGACTTGACTTCTAGAGGTACCCTTGACGGAGGAACACTCTTCTCCCAAGTGCTTCTCTATCTGTGTGACTTTGGGCAGATTGTGTGGGTCTCTGTAGCCTCAGTTGTAAAACGAGGAGAATCTGTTATCTAGGATTCCTAGTGCATTGTTCTGGACACCGAACGCTTGGATTAGACTGTGTGTGAGGGAGATCCCCAGATCCTTGTTCCTCTGCTTCAGAAGCTGGTGATCCGTGGCCTAGAGCACATCACTGCCTGTTCAAAAGCTTTTGATAATTTCTCATTGCTGATCAAATTAAGCCAAAATATTCTGTAGCTTGGTTTGACCTTCGTTTACCAGCTGAAGTTCCCAACTTTATTCCTACAATTGTCTTCACAAGGTTTTCCTTATACATAGTTTTGTTATTGAATGATTTCATTGTTGAACTACTCATTTGAGGGTTTCTTGATAAAGATACTAGAGTGGTTTGTCAATTCCTTCTCCAGTTCATTGCACAGATGAGGCAACTGAGACAAATAGTGTTAAGTGACTTGCCCAGGGTCACACAGCTAGTCTGAGGTCAGATTTGAACTCAGGAAGGGGAGTCTTCCTGACTTCAGGCCTGGCACTATATATACTGTGCTACCTGTGTATATGTATCCCCCATCATAAGCTCCTTGTTAGAGGGGTTAACTTTATTTTCTAGTGCCTAGCACAGTGCCTTACACACAGTAGGTTCCAGCAAACCTTTGTTATATAATTTGTGTTCCAATCAAACATGCTGGTCCTTGCCTTAGCTACCTTGTAGGGTTTGTGGAGAAAGTGTTTTGTAAATCAACTGTGAGTTGTCTAAAGGCCCACCCAAATGCCATCTCTTTTATAAAGCTTTCCCTAACTCTCCTAGCCAGAAATGACCCCTCTTTTCAATGAAATCTGACTGTGATTTATTCATAACTTATTAAAATACATTTTTCCATAAGCATTTATTTTCTCTCCCACCTCCCCCTGGGGATAGGAATGGGGGTGGGGAAAGAAAAACCTTGTGACCAAAATGCATTGTCAAGCAAAACAGATTCCTGTTTTGGCAATGTCTAAAAATCTGTATCATTCTGCATATGTAATCCATTAAGTCCCAGGAGATAAATGCATTTTTTCATCATCCTTCCTTTGGAGTCATATTGAATGATTGATTTAATTAGAATTCTTGTCTTTCAAATTGTTAATTTTTATGTATTTAAAAAAACTGTCGTATAAATTGTTTTTCTGGCTCTCTTCACTTCACTTTACATCATTTCATACAAGTCTTCCCAGATTTCTGTGAAACTGCCCCTTCCATCATTTCTTAAAGCCCATTTCCTTATTGATGAGCACCCCTTAGTTTCCAATTTTCGGCTACCAAGAAAATAGCTGCTTTAAATATTTTTGCACATGAGATTAATAGTGTTATCCCTATGTAAAAAGATTAAGTGTTATCCCTACGTAAAAAGGTATGCACAGTTTAATAATTTTTTGGGCATATTTCTAAATTATGTTCTTGAATGGCTAGGCCAGTTTATAACTCCACCAATAATCTCAATGTGTTTGTTTTAATAATAGCTTTCTTATAGTTATTTTTCTACATGTGATCTCAAATGTAAATCTGAAAGCAGGCATCATTTCTTATTTTCTTATCTCTATGCTGTGCTTGCTTCTAGCCTATTACAGTGCCCTCCACTTAATAAAGATGCTTAATGGTCTCATTAAGTGAATGAGAACTCCTTTATAATTTCCAAAAATTTCATGTGTCCATGATAATAGTTGTCTTCTTAGAATCAGTCACTGAGACAATACATAATAATAAGTGAATGGTGCCCCGCATGTATTCATGGACCTTGTGAAATAGTTACTTGCCCCATTCCCAACCTCCCATTCCTAGGATTCCTACAGATTGGAAATTACTTGAGTGGTTTAAACTGTTACCAAATAATTGATAATCCAAAAGTGAAACATAGCATATTTGAAATGAATGAAGATTGTCATTTTATAAAATGGACTTAATCTGTCATAACATAAAAATGCTACTAATTTACAGGAAAACAGCGTTTCACTCTGGTGTATTGGAGATTTTGGTAACTTGAGCACTGATGGAGGGTTTGAAGGAGATCATCAGTTATTGTGTGACATCAAACACCATGGTGATGTAATGGACTTGCAGGTAACCTAGACATTTTAAGATTTAAAATATTATAAAATATTATTTTTCTGAAGACATATCATATGGCCCAGGCTATTCTTCACTCTTCTGAAATTTTGAATAGCTTAAGAAAACCCAACTTTATGTAAACATCTATTTATCATAATTAATATTTTTGTCTGTACAGTAACTTTTCAGAGTGCTTTCATTACCTTGCACTTACCGATAAGGAAAAGCAAGGTACAATTGTTTCAAACTGGAATAGGCAAAAGAATACTCTTGGTTTCCTATAATATACTATACAAGATTTTAGCCTCTTTGAGCCTTATTCTTCTCTATAAAGTAATACATGCCATTCCTACTTCACAGAGTCCTAAGGAAAGTGTTTTATAAACTCTAAAGCACTAGATGGGAAGCAGCAAGACTCCTCGGCTGGAGAGCTGGCTTTAAAGTTGGAAAGACCAGGTTCAAATCTTGTTTCTAAGACAGTGAACAATGGAGTAGCAGCTGTTCTGTGTTGCCGGTTTGCATATGTAAGAATTTCTGTGCTGTGAGTTTTCCTCACTGATGACATTGGGGGTTCAGATTTACCCCATTCCACCCTCCAAAAAACTACTTTTAAATAATGAATTCTTTATAATTTTGGTAATTTCTCTCAACTTCAATTTGTTGTTTTTCAGTCGTTTAGTAGTGTCTGACTCTTTGTGACCCTGTGGACCACGCTGTCCATGGGTTTTTCTTGGCAAAGATGCTGAAGTAGTCTGCCATTTCCTTTTCGAGTGGATTAAGGCAAACAGAACATAAGTGACTTTCACAAGGTCACTCATACTTTCTGAGGACAGATTTCAACTCTGGTCTTCCTGACTCCAAGCCCCGTGCTTTGTCCACTGAGCCACCTAGCTGCCTGAGCTTCAGTTTACTTCTTTATAAATTGGAAATAACATCTGCCTGGCCTGTCTCACTGAGTTGTAAGAATAAAATGAAATAATATATTTGAAAGTATATACTTCATGAAATGTTATACAAATTATCATTGTCTCTTTTATGTTTAAAATTGCTGTGTATTTGTCACTAGGTAAAATTGTACAATCCTTTACTAATATTTTGAATCTGTAATGAGCAGGATTTTTCTACTGCTTAGTTTTTGGACCAGGAAAGAATTGTAGCTGCTTCATCAACAGGCTGTGTGTCAGTTTTTCTTCATCATCCAAATAATCAGGTAAATAGCATTTTATACAAAAATTGAACTGTAAAAATTATTCTTAGGGTTTATATGTTAATATGTAAATACTTCTTTACTGAATAAGGAAATGCACTTTGTAATCTTAAAACCTGAAGGGCAAAAAATTATAAAGTGTTCATATTAGTGTAGACTTTTCTTAAAAGCTAATATTCTTTGGACACGGTGATGCATACCTATAATTCCAGCTATCAGGAAAGCTAAGACTGGAAGATCTCTTGAGCTTTAGAGTTCTGAAATGCATTGCCCTAAGCTAATAGTGGGTGTCCAGATGAAGTATGGCATTAAGTAAGGGAGCAACCAAGTTGCCTAAGGAGGGGAACACTGGCCCAGGTAGGGAACAAAGCCAGTTAAAGCTCCCATGCCAATAAAAGTGGTACTGGGCCTATGACTAGGTTCTTACACTTCCAGCCTGATTGAGATAGGTAGACCCAGTCTTTTTTTTTTTTCCTTTTTAAGGTAATGTTTTTTACCATTAATTAGTGAAAGTTCTACTAATTTAAACTTAATAACATGTCATTTTAGTTAGTAACTACAATAGTGTCACTTTGCCTTTATAGTTTCTATCTCCTTTTCTCAAAGAAAATAAGAGCACTTGTTGTGTCACTTGCCGTAAGGGATGAAAATATCTCTTTGGTTCTACTAGTAGCACCTAGATTTTTACTTTAAAGAGTAGGTGTTGAGACAGTGGCAAACTTTTGTACAAAATGCCCCTTTAAAAAATCTAACTCAAGTTTGCTGACCTTAAATAATAAAGGGCACTCTGATGAGAAACTTTTAGCTTCATGTAGTAGCATGGAGTCTTATACAGCTTATAGCTAGAGAAGAAAGCCTGTTGAGATTTTTGTTCTTCCCATGCAGGTCATCTTAATGATAGGCGAATTTAGTAAAGTCAAGAATGAAACATTTAAATAATGCAAACTATGACTTTTATTTTCTTAATGACATTATCTGTGGGAAATCATGTCATTTCTGGCAACAACTGATTACTCTAAAAAAATTACTTATTTTTGAACACAGTAATCCTTCGTGTGTAATAACTGCTTCTTTAAGAGAAAGACTAATGAAGTAAGTGGAAACATTATGTACAGTAATTTAAAGCACTTTGGAAGGCTTACTTGTTTAGGGACTTTTTAGCCACTTTGGTAGTAAGAGGTATTCCAAGATGAAAAATAAACTGTTTGTCATTTAAAAACATTCCTTTTGAAATTTATCCTATGGATGGAGGTTTGTAAAGTATGTTTCCTAGTCATCAAAATTATATATGAAGGACAGAAATGTCTTCCTGTAGAGCTGAGAAGAGAAATAGAAACAGAAAAACAAAAGCATTTTGTGCCTTTGATTACTTTAGGTATATTCTAATTTCCTTCAAAACTGAAAGTACAATGTCACGGGAAGAAAAATTTGCTACGGTTTTGTTGTTTGATAACTTTTGATTTTATGGTATTACCAAATGGCTTTAAGGTGTTTTTCTTCACCCTCCCCTATTCCACACAGACTCTTTCAGTCAGCCAGGAATGGGTAGGAGCCCACTACCACATTGGCCCAGGTAGTCCTTCCTATAGGAGTGCACCATGTACTGGTATTGTATGTAACAGTCCAGAGATTGTTACTGTTGGAGAAGACGGCAGAATCAATCTCTTCAGAGTTGATTACAAGGAAGCTGTAAGGACTATAGGTAAGAAAACTGACTAGTTCATTTTCTTTGGCTAATAAGTATTAGCCAGTTGTGCTCTGTGAACCATTGTACCACTGTGCTATGAAGAATACAAAGATGTACAAGAAAATCTCTGTCCTTGAAGGACTTATAGTTTAGTATGGGAGTTAAAATGTATAAATAAATAACTAAAAGGTAATGGTACATGGATGGTACATACTAAATGTTTTAGGGATGCAAAAGAAAGAAAAAATATTTTTGCTTGAAATGATCTAGGAAGACATCAAAAGACATCATGAAGATTACTTTGAGCTGGAATTTGAAGAATGGGCGAAATCTTGATGGAGATGAATGGGAGAGTTTACAGCCAGTAAGAATAGCTTGAACCAGAGACAAGCCAGAAAGCGCAGTGTGTGTTTGGGAAATAGTAGTTCAGAATATTGGAGATGTAGCATGAGATAAAGCTAGAAGGTAGTTTGGGGCTATATGGTGGGGGAAATCAAATGCCAGGCCACAGATGAATTAACTAGAGAAGGCTTCAGAGTGATGCTTTAGGAAGATTAATTTGGCAGGAATGTTTCAAATTAGTTTGAAGGAGAAGAATCTGGGGAAAGAACAGTATTTTATTGCAGGAGTCCAGAAATGAGATGACTGCTTAATGGTAATGAGAGTAGTAATAGAAAGGAAAGAACATATGCAAGAGATCTTGTGAAAGAAGACTTAACCAGACTGAGAGCTACTGGATACTGGGAGTGTTGAAAAACAAGGAAGAGTCAAAGATCTCCTCAGAACTTTGGGCCTGGTTGAATTGTGATATCAACAGAGATAGAGAAGAAATAAGGACTCAGCAATGTGCTATAGGGAGAGAGACCCTTGATTTGGAGACAAAAGATCTGGTTCAGATTCTGGCTCTACTGCTTACGTGTGTAACGTTGGGAAAATCATTTCACTTTCCTGAGCGGCTTCAGTTTCCTTATCTATAGGGAGCTGGTTAAACTCAGTGGTCTTAAATGTTCCTTCCAGCTCTGAATCTATCATCTTAAGATCCTACAAGCTAGTTTGAGAGGATTTGGGGATTAGTTTTAGACATATTGTGTTTGAGGTGGTTGTGAGACAGATGGAGATGGACCTTGGAATTGGAACTGAACCATGAGAAATCTAAGAACTTAGAAGTACATTTTTTGGTATTGCAGTTATCCGTTCCATGTCTTGGGGGTTAAGGGTGTGGTTTCCCCCCCCTTGATCTGGAAAATCTATGTAAAATTTTTGGCCCTCCCTTTCCTTTATACCAGGGAAGAAGTCTGAATTTTTTCTTTTATGGGGTGTTTATAGTACATTATTGTAAAATGTGGGTTGATATTATACCATACCTATATTTTATGCAGTTCTGAGTTTTTAAACTTTTTCTGTTTGTCTGCTGGCTTTTGTGTGTCATCTGCAACTTTCACAAAACTCCCCGGAAAATTCCCATTTAATTTCTCATGCTGGTCCTTGATATACCGAAACTGTGATGGGGACAGTTGTGATGTGGAATGGATAACTGTATATACTGGTGATAATTAAAGCTGGTAAAGTGAATGACATGTCAGATGAGAGCATGTAAAAGACTAAATTTTTTTTGTAAAAGGAGAGGGAGAATTATTCTGTCAGCTCAAATGGGAAAAAAAAAAGGATATACCTATCATTCACATAACGTAAGTTTTCTGTTTTTACTTAATTGTACTACTGATATTCCCTAAGATAAACTTTGCAATTGTCTGGTCTTATCTGTAAATAAAAATGAGAACCAGCTCTATTGGTTTAATTAAATTTAATGTTGTATTTCTTTTTTCTTTCAGTGATCCGGTGAGTCAAGGATGGTTTTTATATTTTTAAATAGTTTTATTGTATTAAAAAAAATGTAAAAGACCATTCTAAGCTTACTGAAAGTACAAAAATGGGGTGGGCCAGAATCTCACAGGTTGGAGTTTGCTAACCACTAGTCTAGGGTCTTAGTTTTCAACTTAAAGTGGAACGTGGCTGTTAAGGTAATCCTTTTGTAAACCAATTACCTTTACACAATAAAGAATCTTGGTTCCATTACCATAAGCTTCACTCCTACTTTGATCAGTCAGCAAGTATTTCTTAAACATCTCTTCTGTGTTTAGCACTATTCTGGATGTTGTGAGGGACACAATTCTTGTTCTCATAGAATTTATAATCTAGTTATACAGATGGATTATACATCTTTAAAAATTCATATCTGCTCATAAAACTTACTAATGAAGAACTAAATTGTATAATATTCGCTATAAATAATGTAGGAATTGAAAAGGACAAATTTGAAGCCTAGGGTCATTAGGGAAAACTTGATAGGGGAAGCTGAAATTGAACTGGACTTTAAAGAATGAGGACAATTTGAATGAGTGAGGATAAAGAATATCAGGTAGGAATGAAGAATTTTTTGTTGTTGTTGTTGGTGAAGCGGTGAGGAGAGTAGCCTGACTTGAAGGAAGAGTGGTGGTTAGGAGAATATTGTTGAGTAGGGGGAGCCAAATTGTAGAAAACCTTAAGAATTAGATTATGGTAGTCCTGGAAACTGTGGTCAGCTCTCAGATGTAGGACATTGGAAATATAAAAGGGATACAAGAAATTAAAAAGCCCAGCATCACCACTTTTTAAAAAGTGTATTAACTGTATTAAAAAGAATATTAACATTTTAATTTTTTAATCAAGGTTTTCAGAATCTTCCTTCACTAATAATACTCCTAATTATTTTAAAGATTTAGCATGATTTCATCTTTAAAATAATGGAAGAAATGTACACTCCAGATTTGCATTTTTTTAAACCCACTGATATATAATTTTTTAATTTTAGATAATGCAGACAGTAGTACACTCCATGCAGTGACTTTCCTTCGAACTCCTGAGATTCTCACAGTAAATTCAATTGGACAATTAAAGATATGGGATTTCAGACAGCAAGGAAGTGAACCGTCTCAGATACTGTCACTGTAAGTTTTGATATACATTTTGTTTTCTACTGCATATATCCCTCCACAAATGTCTTATTCTTGTGCTACATTGTGGTAGGTGGGTGATCTTGGGTTTTTGAAGGCTATATCAGCCTAGGACAGTCTCAGGCTCTACAAAGATTGAAAGGTTTTAATTTTTGTACCTGGCAATAGATTGTTTGTAATCAGAAAACGAGCCTAACTGCACAGAAGCTCAACCAACAAGTTGTCTACTAGGTAATAATAATAATAATAATAACAGTTGTTATTTTTATTGTTGTAACTAACATTTATATAGTACTTAATATATGCTAGGCACTGTGCTAAGCCCTTTACAATTATTATTTCATTTGATCCTCACAACAACCCTGGGAGGTAGATGCTATGAGGCAAACAGAGATTAAATAACTTACCCAGGGTCACACAGCTAGCAAGTGTTTAAAGTTGGATTTGAACTCAGGTCTTCTGACTCAAGGCCTAATACTGTATCCACTGTGCCACCTAGTTAGCCATAAGCATCCATGAAATTACTGCATGATAATATATCAGTTGGACAACCCATCTCAGGGCAGATCCTAATCCAGCCATACCTCATTCTGTGAAGTTCTTGTCTGTGTGCTATAAACTATCTTGTGTTAGAGGCCTTCTCTTAGGTCTCTGTATTTTATTAAATCCAGTATGGTTTTGAGGTAGTATGTTTCTTACCACTCTCACTACACAAATGACTCAGCTCCTTTTCTGATTGTTTCTTGGTGGAGATCCCTTAAACAGCTTTTTGCATATGCATTTTGGTTGGTCCTATTGCACTTTCATCCACCAAGCATCTCTCTTTTGATCTCTGGATGACACAATTTTGATTCTTTGAAGATTGTGGTGCCTCATGTTTTGCAAACATGCAGCATCATTTGAACAATATTAGCATTAATGTAATAGTTATGAGTAATGTAAAATGTTAATGTTTGCAAATGCCTTGCATGAATTACCTTATGATCTTCAACAGCCTTGTGAGGTTTGTACTGTACTTATTATGATTTTTTTAAAGATGAAAATAAAGATATTCTTGACAGCTTACTTCCATTTTCTGCCTAGTGTCATCTTTCCACTTTCACTTATAAATGCTCTTGTAATGATCTGATTTCATTGTCTCTTGCCAGAATTTCACCTCCATTGCTTTTTGCTGTTTTATTAGGTGGTACTGCTCATAGTCTGCTGCTCTCCTACATAATCTTTTACAAATCAGTTTAAGCTTAAAAAGGTTGTTGCCTTTGGCTACTGTGACTTTTTGCTTGTCAAAGAGATCCAAGTAATTGCTAGGTGAAGATTCTGTGTTCTGCTTTCCTTATCATGGAAATGGCTTTACATTGGTTAGATTTCTGTAGGAAAGAGTTATATTCAAGGTTGTTATCTTGACTTCCATTTTCCACTTTTTTTGTCAATAGCCTATTTATGCTGTATTTGTATACCTTATTTTCTCATTGTTGTCTTCTAATTCATATCAAGTCAAGAAGTATCTGTTAAGTGTCTGCTCTGTGCCAGGTGCTGTGCTAAGCTCCAGGGATTCAAAGAAAAGCAAAAATTATCTTTGCCCTTAGAAATGGGAGAAACAACCTGTAAGCAACTATGTACAAATAAGATATCTATCTATATCAATATATCAGTAATACTGTAGCTATGATAAATTTTATTGGAGAGGATCTCAAATGGGAGGCACTAGCAATGAAAGGATTGGGAAAGGCTTCTTGCAAAACCTTGTCAGATAACCATTTTACTGAACATTTACATAATTATAAAACAAAAGCCCTGTGAATTTGAATGCTTACAATAGAGCAAGAAAATCACAGGAAACTGTCTTAAAGGCCTAAAAGCAGTACGTTTATCCTACTAACCAGCAGGCCATCTCCTAATTATATTGAAAAGGCCTACTGAGAAAGGTTTCTCATTTAAAGATAACACTTAAATGGACCTTAGCAATTGTTTAAAACAACTGAAGTGCCTGATCCTGTACGGCATACCTCATTTTATTGTGCTGCAATTTATTGTGCTTCACAAATATTTCATTTATTTATATATTTGAAGTTTGTGACAGCCCTGCATTAAGCAGCTCTGTCAGCACCATTTTTCTAACATCATGTTGCTTGTCAGATTTTGGTAATTCTCACAATATTTCAAACTTTTTCATTATATCTGTTAGGGTGATCTCTGAGCACTGATCTTTGATGTTCTTATTGTAACTGTTTTGGGGCACCACAAGCTACACCCATATAAGAGGGAAAACTCAACAAATGTGTATATTCTGACTGCTCCGCCTGTCATTCCCCCATCTCTCTCCGTCTCCTCAGCCTATCTCTTCTCTGAATCACAACAGTATTGACATTGGGCCAATTAATAACCCTACAATGGCTTCTAAGTGTTCAAGTGAAAGGAAGACTCAAACAATACAGCAAACTTCATTGTTGTGTTATTTTAAGAAATTGCCATAGCTACTCCAACCTTAAGCAACTACCACCCTGATCAGTCAGCAGCCATCCACATTGAGGCAAGACCCTCCACCAGCAAAAAGATTGTTGTTGTTTAGTCCATTCAAACTCTTCAGGGACCCAATTGGGGTAATTGGCAAAGATACTGGAGTGGTTTGCCATTTCCTTCTCCAACTCATTTTAGAGATAAACTCTGACAAACAAGGTTAAGTGACTTATCCGGGGTCATACAGCTAGTAAGTATGTGATGCCAGATTTGAATTCAGGAAGATCAGTCTTCCTGATTTCAGGCCTGGCACTCTAATCTCTGTGTCACCTTGATGCTGAGCAAAAAAGATTACAACTGACTGAAGGCTCAGATGATGGTTAGCATTTTTTTAGCAATAAAGTATTTTTTAATTAAGGTATGTACATTTTGTATGTGTGTTTTAGACAGCCTGCCATTGCACACTTAATAGACTATAGTATAGTGTAAATGTGACTTCTGTATGTACTGGGAAACCAAAAAAATTGTGATTTACTTTATTGTGACCACACTGTCTCCAAGGTATGCTGGTATTGTTTACCTGGCAGTGGGCTGAGGTCAAAGTATTTCTTTTGTTTGCCTGCCAATCAGTAGTTCTGTTGTATCTTTATACAATGGACTAAATTTTGCCTTAGGGTGCTCTCAACATCCTCCCCAGTTACCAGTTGCTGAGAGTCTTCTATGTCTTAATAATAGCTCAGATGGGGGCAGCTAGGTGGCACAGTGGATAGAGTACCAGCCCTGAAGTCAGGAGGACCTGAGTTCAGATGTGGCCTCAGACACATAACACTTACTAGCTGTGTGACCCTAGGCAAGTCACTTAACCCTATTGCCTATCCAAAAAAAGAAAAATAAATATAGCTCTAAAAGAGAATCTAGTGTCACCTTGTCAGTTACCAGTCTGTTAAGATAGAAATAGTTTTATTTTTGGTCATGATGTTTTTTGCTCACCTATCTAGCATCTTGTGATTCTCTCCTTGAAGGAAGCATATGAAAATACACCAGGCATAAGGCTTCTGAGTAGTCCACATGCTTCAGGGACATCTGTGAATAGAGCACTGGGCCTGGAGTCAGGAAGACCCTGAGGCTCAGATCCAGGCTCAGACACTTACCTATTGTGGCCCAAGTTCCTTGACCTCAGTCTCCTTATCTTTGAAACAGGCATAATAATATTACCTGCCTCTCTGTGAATGCTTTTTCCCTCCCCTCTCCAGATGTTGACCTCTGATTTCCCAAACTTGGACCATATTCTCCATTCAAGTTTTTGCCATCCTTTTCTATACTTACCCTTGCATTGAAGACCCTAAATGTCAGAGCTTAATTTCTCTATCTTCTTTAGTAGATGTTAGTATATTTCTTTATAGTGTCTTCTCTTTGTGTTAATCATAAGGACTATAAGAAGAGATGACTATCTCACAAAATGTTTTTAGTAGCCTCTGGGTGTACATTGAAACAGCTTTGGCAGCTCTTTTTATCCCTCTCCAAGGATGACCTTCAAAGCTTTCTTCTGTTTATCTGCGGTTTCCATATGCTTTCAGTTTTATTTAACAATAATGTCAATATGGAATTGGTTATTTTCTCTTAAAAACATGCTAACTTGTTATTAGACAGATTTCTCATATTTAGAGTAAATATTTATAAACAGTTTAAAAACTGTTACTTTTAGCAAGTTCTACTACCTTTTCTGCCACTGCAAAAGCAGGAGAGCCAAATGGGACTAAGAACCATTTTAGATTGTTTTCTCTACATAAGTCCTACTTTAATGCTTCATTGTGATATAGGAGTGACCATGGGTTGTCTAAAGCTATGCCAGTGAGATAAAAGCTCTAGTAGGATCTACCGGGTTGAAGAATTTTGAGATAAAACCATCTGCTATCGAAGGACAAACCTAATTAAATTTGGACAGGCTCATCACCAATATGTTGGCCAGTAGGTGATGGCTCTTGATAATGGCAGTGAGACAAAGACTTTTTTTAATTAAATGAAACAGATAAAAATTAGAATTGGCCTCAGTCCTGTGCAGACCCCCTTTGTAGCAATATTAGAATACAGGAGATTCATCCAATGACTTATGATTTGATATGCTACTAGAAGAGACTAAATCACAACATGGTTATACTTGCTATAGGTGAAACTAAAAAAAAAAAGCTTCAGCTGAATAAAAAGATACCTCACAGATTGACATTCAGTGAATAAAGGAATTGCTAGAATTGTGCACCCTAAGACAACAGTAAACATTTAATGGGTCGCTTATCACTTCCTCATGCACTGGTAATAATGAGCATGAAGGTAGGAGAAGCTTATGTCACAACGTCTGCTACATAGGATAAAGAAGTAAAAAAAGTCCTACAGAGTTGACAAAATTGATGGTGTAGTAGAAAGATCACTGGATTGGGAGTCAGAAGATCTGGAGTCAAACCCCAGCTCTTTTTGTACTTATTTTACATTGAGCAAGTCAGTTACCCACTCTGTACCTCAGTTTCCTAGTCTATAATGTGAAAGACTTTGAATATCCTTTCCAGCTATAAGTCTTTGATCTTGTAAACAAAACCAACGTCTGTCTTGATACTCAAATAGAACTTCGAATAGATAACACTAAATGACCAAATAGCATCATAACAAATGAGATTAAGTATATCTTCACAGAAAGAAAACAAGTGGTAATCTTTCAGAATCGGCTGCCTGTGTGTAGTCAGATAATCAACTTTCTTTTTTTTAATTGATTATTTTTTAAAATTAGTTTGTTTATTTTTAGTTTTAAACATTCACTTCCATAAGATTTTGAGTTTTAAATATTCTCCCCCTTCCCCAGACAGTGTGCAGTCTGATATAGGTACTACATGTACCAATTCATATTAAACATTTTCACATTAGTCATTTTGTAAAGAAAAATTAGAACCAGTGGGAGGAACTATGAGAAAGAAGAAACAAACAAAAAAAGAGAGAGCAAATAGTGTGCTTCGATCTGCATTGAGACTCCATAGTTCTTTTTCTGAATGTAGATAGCATCTTCCATCATGAGTCCTTTGGAGTTGTCTTAGATTCTTGAGTTGCTGAGAAGAGCTAAGTCTGTCAAAGTTAGTCATCACACAATGTTGCTGTTATGGTGTACAATGTTCTGGTTCTGCTCACTTCACTCAGCATCAGTTCGTGTAAGTCTTTCCAGGTTTCTCTGAAGTCCATGATGATCAACTTTCTTAAAGAAAAGATGGAAATGAGCACCAAATTAGAAGATAAAGATGTAAAGCTATTTAGCACATTTATAACAGCTCCTAGCTGATCTAATTAAACATTTCTTTTAGTTTAAATTGTTAATTACATGAAGGCAGAGACTGTCTTCCTCTTTTTGTATCCCCAGGGCTTAGCACAGTACCTGATATAGTAGACACCTAATAAATGCTAATTGATTGACTGATTTTGAAAAATGGGAAATATATCAAAGTAAAGATAATGGCTCTGATTATTGTGATTTCTTATAGATGTTTACCTAGTGTAAAACAATCGTGAGCCACAACAAAGAGGATAAAAGAGCCTAGAAACCCCCTCAACCGGCAAATAGTCTCCAGATCAAGCACTGTAATGTGGCAGCCATGACCAATATGGATTTAGCATATAGCCGTAATGATAGCTGGCATTCATATATAGCCTTTTTCCTTTGCATACATTATTTCACTTGGTCCTCACAACTCTGTGAGGTGGATTATTATTAGTATTATCCTCTTTTACAGAAAGGGAAACTCAAACTCAGGTTAAGTGAATTACCTAGGATCACACAGCTAGTTAGTTTCTGAAGCAAGATTTGAATCCAGGTTGTCTTGAGTCCAAGTCTGACACTGTCTACTTTGTAGTGATCTCATTTGCAAAATTATGGATGTGTTCAGGGCCATTTTCTGTCTCTATGTGTTCTCTTTTGGTGACCTCATCACTTTTATAAGTTTGATTATCACTTTATGAAGATGACTCATAGATCTATATATACAAACCAAGTCTTGCCTCTGAACATCACCACCTATTGGACTTTGAAACTGAATGTCTTAAAGACATTTCAGTCTCATCATTAACAAAACAGAACTCATTAACTTTCCCACCAAACCCTTGCCTAACATCTCACATCTTTTCTTTCTGCTTACATAGCCACAACCTTAGTTCAGTCCCATATCTCTTCTTATCTGGCTTATTTCTGTGACCTTTTCAGTCTCCTTACCTCTCTAATCCAACCTCCATAAGGCTATTTTCCTTAAATGTCACTTTGCTATTTAATAAACTCAAGTGACTCCTTGTTGCCTCCAAGATAAAATATAAACTATTGTGTTTGGCTCTTAAAGCTCTTCACAATTGGCCCCAACCTGTCCTTCTAGACTCATTATATGTTATTGCCCATTATGTACTTTACCCTCCAGCCAACCTGGATTTCTCTTCCTCTCACATAGCACTCCATCTCCTATCAACTTGCCTTTTCGTTAGCTGTCCCACTCCTGGAATGTACTTCTTTCTCACCTGGGACTTACAGCCTTCTTAACTTTAAGACACAGATCAAGTATCACTTTCTATGCAGAGCCATTCCTAATCCTTAGAATTGCTAATGCCCTCCCTAATTACTTTGTATTTAACTAACACATTTATTTTATTATTTATTCTGCACATATTATCTCCCCCAGTAGACTATAAGCTCCCTGAGTACAGGAATTTTTTATTTTTTAATTTTGTATCTCCAGTGCCTGTCACATAGTAGGCACTTAATAAATGCTTTTTAATTGATTCAGAAGAAATAATGAAGAGTTGCAGAAAGGAAAATGAATCAGAGAAAGCTTGGCTTGATACTTAACTAAGTCAGATCATCCCAAGGACATTTATAGTTCAAGTCTCAAGAAGAAGAAGAAACAAGATATGATAGATTTTATCCAATGAAGTGGAAGTTTCTTGAGGGCAGGCACTTAAGATTTTTTTTGTCTTTGTACCCTAGTGCTTTATAAAGTGCCCAATAGTAGGTACTTAAATACTTCTTGAATAAATGAGGTAGAACACATTTTTCAGTTTCCATAGTAATCTATTATCATTATTGTTGTCATAGGAACTGCTGAATTAAACTTGTCACACCCCAGTACCTAAAACATTAAATTAGCATGTCAAAATAGCACTTAACCTGAAGTTGAAAAGAATAGCTGGACCTGAACACAGAAGAAATCTGAGAGGGAACACGAAACATAATATTGAGCTTGAATCATTTTTCAGGATGTTGTAAAGAGAAATTTAATTCAGCAAATATCTTTGAGAGTTGTATCATAATTAAATTAGGACTTGTTTCTGCAAATCACTTTGTATTGATAATGTAACATATGTATGTATGTGTATCTATATGTCTATATCTATCTGCACATACACATAGTAGTTTGCTGACCAAAACAATCCAGGTGTTTCTGGGCAAATATCAAGTACTATTTTTCTTATGCTTCACAGAGCATCTCTAGTAAGTTAGAGTGGTTTTGGCTAAAGTATTTCACAAATGTCTTGTTTTTACCTCACTTAGAAATGTGAATATAGTCGAAGATTTCAGTTCATATACTGAATAAATGTTTTCCTATTTTAAAAATAATATTAAGGAGAAATTTCATCAGTAGTTTTTCTTTTTTTATGAAATACAAAATGGATAATTTTTTATTACATTAAATTTTTTTTTTTGCACAAAGCCAATGCAACCAAGATTAGGAGGGAAGTAGAAAACTGGGAAAGAATTTTTACAACCAATCTCTCTGATAAGGGCCTCATTTCTAAAATATATAGAGAATTAAGTCAAATTTATAAGAATACAAGTCATTTCTCAATTGATACATGGTCAAAGGATATGAAAAGGCAGTTTTCAGATGAAAAAATTAAAGCTATCTATAGTTATTATGAAAAGCTCTAAATCACTGCTGATTAGAGAAATGCAAATCAAAACAACTCTGAGGTACCACATCACACCTATCAAATTGGCAAACATGACAAAACAGGGAAATGATAAATGTTGGGGGAGATGTGAGAAAATTGGAGCACTAATGCATTGTTGGTGGAGTTGTGAACTGATCTAATCATTTTGGGTTTTTTGTTTGTTTTTGTTTTTGCTAGGCAATGGGGTTGAGTGACTTGCCCAGGGTCACCCAGCTAATAAGTGTTACGTGTCTGAGGTCGAATTTGAACTCAGGTCCTCCTGAATCAAGGCCGGTACTCTATATACACTGTGCCACCTAGCTACCCCAGATCTAATCATTTTGGAGAGCAGTTTGGAACTATCCCCAAAGGGCTATATAATGTGCATACCCTTTGACCCAGCAATAGCACTTCTAGGGCTGTATCCCAAAGAGATCATAAAAATGGGAAAAGGACCCACATGTACAAAAATATTCTTAGCAGCTTTTTCTGTGGTGGTGGCGAATAATTGGAAATTGAGGGGATGCCCATCAATTAGGGAATGGCATCAGTAGTTTTTCAACAGATTATTCAATTCAACAGATAATTTAAAGATATTTTGTCCATTTCACTACATTAGTCTATTTCTTTAATCTGAGTGCAACTTAAGATAAACTCACTGTTAAGAAGAGCAGGCATTAAAAGCTTCTTTTTTAAGAGTTGGTACACAATATGCACAAAAAACATAGATGTAGGAGCATCAGAAACTAAAATGTTAGCCTTATTCTGTTGTACTATTCATGACTTTAGCTAACAAGCTTCCTAAATAATTGTGCATTTTATTCCAGGTTGTCTAGATATTTAAAAAACACGTCTAATCAAGTTTTGAAATTACCAAGATAGGGTTAGTTGTTAGGAAATTGGAAGCACATTTTGGTTTGAGGTAAGGAAAAAACTGTAACAATTACAGCTATTCAAAAAAAGGATCCCTACTTACAGGAGCAAAAGCTGGATGTCATTTATGAAGTATGTTGTAGAGGAAATTCTTGTTTAGGTGAGGCTACAACTAGATGCCTTCTGATTTCCCTTCGAACTCAGATTCTGTGCTGGTTTTGTTGATCAAAGAAAATGAGTTATTACCCTCGAAAGTGGCAGCTTACTTAGGATGCTGAAAATTGAGGAACCAATTATAATTTATAGGAGACTTCCACATGGCATAATTGTGGTCAGTGTCTTAAAATGAAATGAAAGAAAGAAAAAACTGATATAAGGAAGTATATTTTTCTTTTGCATTTTCTCCAAAAGGACTGGGGACAGAGTTCCACTGCACTGTGTTGATAGACATCCCAACCAGCAACATGTTGTAGCTACAGGTGGTCAGGATGGAATGCTGAGCATTTGGGATGTTAGACAAGGTAGCATGCCAGTATCTCTGCTGAAGGCTCATGAAGCTGAAAGTAAGTATTTTTGGAGAAACTTAATTAGTTACTTGTATGACAATTTTAAGAGCAAAATTATTATTAAGTTTTTAGATTGTATATGCTGTTTTCCACATTTTTGCATTTGTGGTAGTACGTATATTTCAAAAATAGAACTTTTCTTAACCACATGCCTAAAAGAGCATATGTCTAAAATATTGAGGGCCACTTCTTTCAGGGGCAGCTAGGTGGCACAATGGATAGAGTGCCAGGCCTAGAGTCAGGAAGACTTCAATTCAAACTGGCCTCAGACACTTTCTAGCTGTGTGACCCTGGGCAAGTCATGTAACCTGGTTTGCCTCAGTTCTCTCATCTTTAAAATGAGCTGGAGAAGGAAATGACAAACCACTCCAGTATCTTTGCCAAGAAAACTCCAAATGGGTTCATGAAGAGTCAGATGTGACTGACAACAACTTTTATTATGTTTTTAGCAGTACTGCCATGAAAGAATAAATTATTTGTAGCCATGTTCATTTCCAAGAAAGAAATCAAAGGGCTGGATAATAGCCTGGCTTTTCTCTCTAAAACCCTTCCTAGAAGGAAAGGAGAAGGTATGATTACATCTACAAATTCTAAGGTTAACCCAGAGGACATGGTGTTCATTTAGGTCGCTTCTCATTTCCCTTTTTATAATTGTTGATCTGTCTTGGTAAAGAAAATATATAAGTACCATACCTTCTAAGTAGAATTTACTTAGAATTCAGCATCTAAGTCCTTCTGACCCTAGGGTAGGGCAGAGTGAACTGTTTTGTTTCAAATTGTGGATTATTTGGTCTTTGGTTTAGTTTTGAGAAAATTTGGATTTGGATATCTACCAGATCTATATAAGAAAACAGCATGATATAGTAGATAGAACTGGCCCTGAAGCCATGGAGATTTGTGTTCAAGGCCTGCCTCTGGCATATACTGGCTGGTGAACCACTTTCCTTTTTAGTGTACTAAGCAGCTCTCTTAAGCCATTAAATTGCAGAGAAGGTGCCAACCTACTCTGCCAGGCAAAAGGAGTTTCCTCACAGGGAAGTTCCCTATGCTAATGAAATCAGGTCCATTCCCTATTCCTTTTTATTCCAGACCTATAGCTTTGCAGTTAGGTTTACATACATGTTGTGTTTTAGTAGTTTCTTCTTTTGGGAAAAGTAATATTCTTGTGTGATCAGTAAAGCCTTATGACTTTTCATTATAGCAGAAGTGAAAAATGCCAGCTTGAAATGTCTAATGCTACCAGTTACAGCTACTCTGGCATGTGGGATACCCTACCTAGTGTCTCAGAGCCCAAGGTTTGATCCAGGTATAGGTTGGTTTGTTTTAACTGCAGCTTTATAGCTAACTTACCTTCAGTGGCTCAGTTCTGTTCTTGGTTTCCAGAAAGTAACTTGTTACTTAAGGTGCCCTCTGAATTGAGTTCTACTTGAGGTCTCCATTTCCAGTTGATTTCTTAATAGCCTTGGACCTGGACTTGGATCAGATCATCTCTGGGAAATTCCCAATATTTGAGCATTTTATTTAGTGCCTACTACATGCCAGGCACTAGGGATAAAAACACAAAAAGGAAACAGTCCTTATATTTTCCTGAAATGATACTCATGGATCAAGGACAGCCAACATAATAAGCAACCAGTGTGGTTTGTGAATTTAATATTGTATTACATTTACTGGACTCTGGGGCACTTAAATAATATGACTTTCATTGTTAAACCTTCCCCCACTTGATTCTTACTTCACTAGCCTAAAAGAACTTACCTACTATCAAGAATTATTTTAGAATTATGCCATCTAGGCCCAAGAATTATTTTGACTATACTATTTTTATCAGTATTCTAACAGTGTTTTACACAGATAATTAGGTGTATTCCAGTAGAACTTCATAGGATCTTTGTTGAATTAGCCTATTCAAAATAAAACTTATTCTACTCTTGTACTGTAGTGTGGGAAGTTCACTTCCACCCATCCAATCCAGATCATCTGTTTACTTGCTCTGAAGATGGATCCCTTTGGCATTGGGATGCCTCCACAGATGTTCCTGAAAAATCATCACTTTTTCACCAAGGTAAGAGGCCTTGGAAAAGACTTTTGTGCACTAATGTTTCATGATCCTTTTGCAAAATGTTTGTAGAGAAATTTAGTTTTCTGCCATGAAACTGCTTCTGCTCAATGCCAAATAAGAAAATGTGAATCTTCGTCATTAAGGAAATCACTCTCATTCTTCTGTCCCCAGGAGAGACTATATATCTCCTTAGTCTTGAGGAAAGGCTAGAAATTTCTAATTCCAATTTCATTGATGATGTTTACAAAATTCTATAGCACAGGATAATGCTAGATGCCTTAGGTTCTTTTTTTGTGTCTCATTAGCTTCTTGCCACTGTGTTGTTGGATAGGCATTGACAACCTTGCCAGGAACAGGTGAAAGGGAAGAAGGAAAGAGATACAATGCATGTTAAGCTTCTGATTTTGTTGGTCAGATTATCTCAGTTCACATTGTTCTGTCTTCCTATTAGAGTCAGGGGTGAGTAGAAGAAAAATAGGAATTATGTTTGTGAAAAGGAGCATACATCTTCAGTTAAACATTTATTAATCACCAGCTATGTGCAGATCATTGTTCTAGATGACTTTAATCCAAAATAATATGTGATAAAAGTATAAGAAAGATTTAAGCAAAGTGTTGAATACAGTCCAGGAGGAATAAGGTGATTTCCAATGGGCAATCAGGGATAGCTTTATAGAAGAGGAGTTATTTGATCCTGGACTTTAAAGGATGGGTATGTAGAATAGGGTAGGACATTCTAGCTATAGTAAACAGGGGTGGGAAGTATGTGGTGTGTATGGAGTAGGAGTACCAAAAATCACCTAGATTAGCTGTAACAAAGTATACAGAGGAGGTAATAGTATGAGATAAAGTAGAAAAAATAGTGTGTATTAGACTACAGAGAGCCTTGAATATCAAACCATCTAGTATGAACTTTAAATGGTCCTCAGTAAAGAGATATTGTTACTGAAGAAGGCAGGTCTAGATCTCTCCGTGGGGGGTATAAGTCTGAAATATGTCTTAAAAGAGTGAGAAGAATTTGGGGAACCTATTACAGGAACTCAGCTGGGTGGTGTTGAGTACCTTAAATAGACTGGTGAGAAAATGAAAAGAGAGCAAAGATTTTACAGGGGTAGAATCACCAGAAATTTGTAATTGGTTATTAGAGGTGGGGCAGGGCAGGTGGAAAGGAAACATCAAAGATAACAATAAAATGGATAAATGGTGGTGTTGCTGATAGAGACAGTGACTATAGAAGGAAGAGCAGAGTTTGGGTTTTGGACAGGCTGATTTTGAGATAATATTAGGATGTGTTCTGTAAATAATGGGCAATAATAGATAAGATTCTGGAGAAGGCACAAGAGGATGGGAAAGCTTGGGTAAAGAAATTACTGTTAGTAATGAGTGAGAATATCTTTTTGAGTCAGGAGATAAGAAGTGAATAGGTAATGGTGAAAAGTTTCGAGATGGAGAATTAAGGGAGTGCCTATCAAATGACCTAATTTCTCTCTTGCAATAAGAAGTTAAAGTCATTTGTTACAAAAATTGGGACTGGGTGCTTGAGATGAGAGGGAAGGAGAGATTTGGAAAGGTAGTAGGAGGGAATGAATTTTAAAATCTCAATATTGAAAAAAACTTGGAAGGCTCTGGTGTCACATTCCCAACAGGTAATCATTTAGCTTTCCCTTATAGACCTCTAGTGAGGGGGAAAACCATTAATTCCTGAAATAGCCTATAATCTTATTTTGGATAGGACTAAGTGTTATGAAGTATTTGATTCCTCACCACCAAGCCAAAATCCACAATTTCTTCCCATTGCTTCTATTTTACTGTCTCAGTCCAAGCAGAACAAATCTAATCACTTCTAGGTAACAGCTCTTCAAATACTTAAAAACAGTTATCATGTCTCTTCATAGAGGCAGTACAAAATAAATAGAATAAAACAAAATTTAAAGATGAAAAATAGAAATTGCCATAGTTGTTACTGTATATTAAAGATATATGTCCTAAAAATGAATTTTAGGAAAATTTTTGTAGTAAAATGAGTTACTCAGAACAGTTCAGAGTGAGATGTTTGAGGAGTTAGGCTCTTCGTGCATCTATCTCTTTAAAAAGACTGAGGAGAAAGAAAACAGGAAAAGTTGGCACAAAACTATAGGAAAATTAAAAATGGGCAGAGTTCTGATAAAATTAATTTAGAGCAACTGAATGAACTAAAGTACTGGAAACAATACAAAAGATATCTCAAGAGATATCCTCAAAATTTTTATAACTTATTCTAAGAAATTAAGATCAACATTAATAAGAAAATCCTCAGATCAAGTAAGAGCTGGAAGAAAGTTTAAAAGAGTGGGCAAAATCAAGGTAGATTTAAAAGATGTTAAAGAAAGATCAAAAAGAATAATAAAGTATATAGTAAAAACCTGAGGGGATCAATAGAATCAACCAACAGTATAACTTATTGGGGGCAGAGGGGGCAGCACCAGCCAGAGAAATATCTGTGCAGAAGATCACTAAATTATCAAAATAATGAAAAATTAAGAACAATTGAGAAGGCTGTGTGATATAGTCTATGACATGCCAAAACATTTAGAAAAGTGCCGGGAGTGCCTGCATCCCCGGCTGTGGTCTGATGCTGGCAGAGTGTGAAGAGAGAAAGAATCACGGGCCAGGTGAAAGTAGTGAAGAACAAACTCTGTTTATTGATCTGAGGGCTCAGGCTTATATAGTACTGGATCAAGCGGTAGTAACATTATTATTCATGAAAAGTACAAATCTAATTAAGTGATTTCCTTACTTCCTTATACCTTGTCTGTTACATTCTTTCCTGCGTCCTGTCTTGTACCCCATCCATTTCCTCCCTTCCTGCATCCTGTTCTCAAGAGACAGAACAGGGGGGTGGTGAGCAGACATCCTGAGTTTCACAGCTGTCAGGCTTAGTACAATCTGCAGGTAAGACCCGGGCTGGCCTAAGCCCTCCAACTTCTCAAAGCCGGCCCTCTACAGAAAAGTAGAATTTGAACATGATATTATCAAAACTTGTCAAGGAAAATTTCCCAGACATAGGGATAAAGCTTCAGGATACAAATAAAAAGAAACTGCAGGACTCCAATTCAAGATTCAACACACATATAGTTTAAACTTCAATATTATAATAGGAAAATAATGAACAACTAATGAGCAGTTAAAAAGAAATATAAGACCTTGTCCCTTTCCTCAAGGAATTTATAATTTAGTTGGGGAGATAAAATATAAATAAATAAAAAGTTAACAATAGAAATGCCACAAGGCAATAGATGATTAATTGGCAAATTAGTAGTATATGTTCAGAGTAAAAAGAGAAATTACCATGGGCCAGAATGGTTTTAGAAGACTTCATAGAGGAAAGACTTGAGCCAGGCTTTGAATACCAAATAAAACTTAAATCTGCCATTATATTGGATTTTGCCCAAAGCTGAGGGTTGGGGAGAGGGTTTAAGCCATTAACCAAAAGAAGATTGAGGATTATTCATGAATTTCATTTATCCATGCTGTCCATTCCCTCACAATAGGTCAGATAATTGGAAATTACACTTAAGTAGTTTAATGGATCTGTGATCTCTTAGGATACTCCCTCTATAGGTGCAATTCTTGATCATATATAAATCCTTCATAGACCATATTGCTGGAGCTCTTGTTTTCAAGATCTTATAAAATTATGGAAAATGTCCTTTAAGCTACATATTGTGCTGTCTTTATTGATAACGCTATAGCTTACTTTATGCCGTACACATTTCTCCATTACCTTTTGGGTCATTGGTAGTTTGGTTTGGAGAGTGTGGTGTTCCATGATTGGCAGTTATATGGCATTAGTAGAAGAACATTAATGTATTAAAAGTTGGGTTTTTGTGTCAGGGAACAACTTGAGATTATTGAAAACTGGACACAGTTTTCCAAAAGTAATCCAGTCTATTCTCCTATTCAGTTCTGGGTCCAGTTTTTTGTTCAGTTGCAGTGTCTATCCAGGATTGGTGTATTAATGGATTCAATTCATTCATTGGATTAATTCAATGGATTAGCCATCTAGCTGCAAGTTATAGTCTAGGAAAATTGCATTTTTCATCCATTTTGTTTTTCCTGTTTGGATCACTGGCCCATTCTCTTTCGAATACAGAGTATGTGTATGCTCCATGACCGAAGCAAATGCTTTTTGTCAAGCATCTCCTCATTTTATTCCTTGTTGAAAAATCATTGAACAAAGTTATATTTAATTTTAACATATATGTGAACGATACCTTGTTGAAAAAATTCCCACATTTTACTCTAACAAGTCAAATTTTGCTTTTTTAAAAAATGATCAGGAAACACAGGAGGATCACATATTCTGTCCAGAATACAGCAACACTTTTTGTGGCAACAAAGAACTGGAAATTAATTAGATGCTCATTGATTGAGGAATTGGCTAAACCTGTTACATTGTGGTACATGATCAAATGGGTAATTATTGTGCTGTAAGAAACAACAAATAAGAATTCCAGTAAATACGAGAAGCCTTTAATAAAGTAATACAGGGTGAAGTAAACAGAACCAGGAAAACAACACATACAATAACTACAATGTAAATGGAAAATACAATTTTAAAAAATGAAATAGCACTATATAGTTATCATGACCAAGATTTACTGAAGAAAAGTTTGAAAAATGCACCTCTTCCTTACCTGAAGGAGTAGAGAACTATAGATGTGGAATATTGCCTACACTATCACATGGCTGATATGTGATATGTTGGTTTTGCTGAGCTATTTTTCCTTTTTAAATTCTGGTTTTAAGGGAAGGCTTGTTGGGTAGTCAGGGATATATTTGGGAAATGAATGTGATGTAGAAACAAGAGCATCCATGAAATGAATGATAATAAATTAAAATTCTGAATATATGACAAAGAAACAGACTGAAGACTTTAAACTTGATTCTGGAGGGCACATTGAGCCGGTAGATAAAAGTGATTCTTGCAGATACCTTTATCTCTGGGCAAGACATGTTGATTATAAAGATATCAATAAGGTTGTACCTGAATATATCAAGAAGTTTACTGGCATCCTGAAATCAAAGTTTTGAATGAGAAGTAATTAACATCAGTGCAATATAAGTGTTGATATATAGATCTTTAGAGTTGTGAAATGTAACAAATCAGAATATTAGCAAAATATATGGTTCTTCACCCTAAGGCAGCTTATCGAAAATTTAGCATTTCCGTGGCAAAAATTGGGGAACAGATTGATAGATATTCATAGAAGACAAGATGAGAAGGTCTGAAGTCTACAAAAATACTTTGGGAATAAGTACCGTCACTTTACCAAGCAATAGTAAAGGTTAATAGTAAGTATACACCACTGAAGTGTCTTCAAAAGGAGTTTGCCTATAGATGGCTTTATTAAATAATTAAAATTCAGAAATAGAATCAGAAGGCCCTTCACTGATAATGTCTGCATGAATCCTGCCAATAATATGTCAACAGAGAAGCATAGAACAAATGGCTGAATCATGAAGGTTTGTTTGGGAAGTGGGAGGGTTTATGGAGGTTATTCAGGATTAGACCATTGCCACCAGAAATTACAGGATTATCATTAAGTAGCTGTTTTTCTGCAATGTCAATGTACATTGTGCAAGGAAATGGTGGAAACTATTCAGAGGTTGTGAGAGTTTATTGCCTACTGACTACTTAGCAAAGGATGATCTGATGCCTATACACACTGCTTTCTTTGAGAAATGACAAATACCCAATTATAAATACAGACCTCAAAATATCCTGGAGAATTCAAACACTTCACTGTATTGAAACCAGACCATTTGCAGACTAAACTATTGACTACAGTCACTTGGATAGAATGTTGATTCATAAAAACTTAAGAACAACATTTTTAACAGATATCACTGTGCTAAATATTTATAGTCCCCATACTATGTGGAATAAAAAGATTTCAAAATATAAGGACTTAGCAGTGGAGATCAAAATCAGTTAGAACAAGATGAAGTATATATCCCTGTTATGTAGAGGCTACTTTTAGAGAGCCTGAATAGGATGAGCTTATAGCCGAATGCTTTTATTAAATTACATCAGTTATTTTATAGTATAGAGAACACTCAATATAAAGGAATAATATTAGGGTAACAACTTGTCCTAGGGCCATTCTATCTTAAACCTATCCAAAAAGATGAGAATGAGAGAACTCCATAGTAGATCATTTCAGGCTCTAGTTTTTAAGAAATTTTTGATTCATCATATTTCATTTTAGTTTTTTGATAATTTTACTATTCGCGGATGGACAGAAAAAGACTGATAGGGTTAAAAGTTTAAAAGCCTGCCCTGATAAAGATTTTAATGTTATCTCATGGGTACTTGAGATTGATTCATACTGACAAATCAATTGTCAGGCAATTGGTACATTTCCATAAGTCTTTTGTTCATATTTTAAGAAATGCAAATTGTAGATACCTTTTAAACACATAAATATATGTATTATTTGAAAAGGTCACAAATTAACATTTATTTACAAAGTGTTAACTATCTTTTTCACAGGTGGAAGAAATAGCACATTATTAGCTCATCCTTCAAGTAACCAGCTTAATGTTAACCAGTCCCTTATAAGTTCCTGGCTCAGCACTGATCCTGCAAAAGATCGTATTGAGATCACTAGCTTATTGCCAAACAGGACACTGTCTGTGAACAGTTTGGATGTTTTAGGATCTTGTCTTCTTTGCGGAACTGATGCAGAAGCAATTTATGTTAGTAGACAACTTTTCTCATGAATGTTAAGTCTCAGTTCTGAGTTTTGATTTGCCTCTGTTTTAACAGTTGAATCTCAGCTTGTATGTGAACTTCTCAGTGGGAATCTTCATTTTAATGTGGAAGCATTAGTAAATGAATGAACAGTTTTTAGTTTTGACAATTGGGTATGAAAAACTTGAACATGCAAAAGAGTATCAAAGATATCTTTGGGCTGCTGTTATGTTTTAAAGTTTTTTTTTTAACTTCTAAAAATTAGCTGCAACAATATTCACATTACATTATGGTAATGTTTAAGAAGCAATTATGAGCATAGGTAAGCTGATTTTCTAAGGTTTGGTATGTTAAGATTTTTCATTGTGAGAATAGTGATGATAAGATAGGGCAAAGAGGTTAACACCAGTTATGCTGTCTTTTCCCTTATCATGTAAAAAGATCTCTTCTCCTTCCTTGTTGATCTGTATGGAACAGGTATCCATAAGGGCACTATTCTGGGCCCTGAAACTAACAAACCTACTTCAGTAATAAAGGAATTCTCCTTTATAACTTTAGTGAGCTGTCTACCAATTTCATGTTTCTTTAGGTACCACTGGCCAGTGTGATCTTGTTTTATTCTCTTATTCATCCTTAATCACTTATTTCCATCTATTCCACATTGGTTCCCCTATACTAAATGTGTCTACTTTCTGAGAAGAAAAGAATGTTAGTTGGAACTAATAGAATAAATATTATTTTCAAAGTCTTAGAGTCTGGAATGTCAATATTAAAAAGGTGAGAAAAATAATCTAGTTCCTTTTGTATGTGTTTTTGAACTAAGCATCATATATTTAAACCAAAATTTATTTTGGTTGAACATTTAAAATTTTTTGTTACTGAAGAAATTTAATTTAAACTTTCAAGATTTGGTTTAAGAAATCCTCACATGATTTTGTGCAAATACATTTAATGCAGTTAGGAAATTTGGTAAGCTAAATTACTTTGTCATTGGGTAACATATATATAAAAGTAATGAATTTGGTCACATGGTAGCTTGTCTTTACCTTTACTAGGATATTGCTGGTAACTTAATATGAAACATTATAGGACACTAGTGAAAATCTGTGTCAAAGTTTACTAGGTCAAACAGTTTTGTTAAACTATTGAGTTTTAAGTCACAGCAATGTTGACATAACAGAACTATATATTTACCTTAGGATGTCATGAAAAGAAATGTTTTTATTTTGTTTTTCTATTCAAATAAATATTTTCACTAGGTTTTTAGTTGTCCCAGTATTGCCTTATATCTCATTTATTTTTGTAATAAAACTTTATAGCTGAATACATCTGCTCACTTTTTTCTATGAAATATGGCCATTAATTTTATTAAAGACATGGCAGTAATTCTCATTAAGGAGATAAGATTAGAATACTAACTAATACTGAGCAAGAATGAAGAGTTCAGTGTATGAATTACCCTTCTGAAGGTATAAATGTATTTAAAGTAATAGAGGTGTGATCTTAATCATAGTTTATGAATTTAATATTCACTACATTCATAGCAGTATTTTCTGTCCTCTGATATTATGTGAAACCTCCTCTGGAATATCATTCCAAAGAACAGAGGAGATTTTCCCCATGCAGAAAAATGCTTTACAATCATCCTACCTTCTCTATATTTCTATGTAACTAATTGCCATTTGTAACCTTGTTAACACACCTAACACCATATTTGCATGAAACCAGTCAAGCATGATAGGTGTATTTGTACAAAATTTTAGTATCCATGAAGTTTTTAATGGTTTATCTTTAGCACTTGTTCATAAATGAAGGACTTGCTGATTCTCATCATAATTAACCCACCAGTCTTTAAAAACAAAACAAAACCTTGCCTCAGAGGGTCCTTTAAATACCTTTTAAGAATCTTAACCTTTTTCATGATTGCTTCTTTCAGTATTATGTTAGTGGAGTGTTCAGATATGTGTCATTAGAAACTTTATTATTAATAAACTGTATTTGTATTGAGTTTTATACTTTTTTCAAAATGCTTTCATGTACTTGATCATCTATTTTCATAGTTAAGTGGGGCAGGTATTATCATGCCTATATTAGCACCTACCTCATATGAGGGTCAAATCAAACGACATAACAATGTAACATACCTTGCAAACCATAAAGTGTCATATTCATGCTAGTAATCATTATTTATTATTGTTATTATTAACATTTCAAAAGTAAGAAAGCTGAGGCACACAGAGATGAAATAACAGGTCCACACAACTAGTGACTGAGATGAGAAATTGATTTTCTCTTCTAAAACTAACCAAAGCGAAGTCCCCAAACTATGTGTAGTTTTAATAATAAATTTGATATTTTATTTCTCATGTGAAAGGAAGAAGTTAAGTTACTGTTATGTAGCAATTTGTTGAAATAGCATTGTATCAGTAAATAAAAATAAATTTAGGGGAAATTGTGTGTCATAAGATCTTTATATAAACTAGTTTGGCAACAAGAAACATTTCATGGGCTATATAAATATGGTTGCTTTGTATTGTAGTACCCATGAAAAGGGCAAAATTATCATCACAAAAGTAATTGCATCTTAGGTAATACTTGTTGCAGAGGCTGAGGACACAGAAAAATTCTTTGAAGAACTTAATAAAACTGTCCAGATGAAGTCTACATATGATTTGATACTTAGTAATTAAGGTAGAAATGAGCATAGGGGCATTTAACGAAAAGTAAATTGAAAAATAAGGTTCAGTAATTTAAAAAAAAATCAGCCAGATAAAGGCTATACTGTAAGCTGTACTGGCATGGAATGCCACCAGAGTACATAAAAAAGGGTATAATTAAAACAACTCCAACTTAATCAATTTTAAAAAGATGTTCATGCTTCAAAATGGAAAAAAAGATTAAGAAAATGACATTAACACTGATTTATAACTACTTGCTAAGAAATTTAAACTATGCAAAACACTTGTTCCAAGAAGAACAAAAAAGCCAAGAAACCTGAGCCAATAAACAATTTCCTTGCCCAATGAACAGATATGATAATGAACGATAACAGCAGTTAGAATGCAACTCTAGCACTTGGGCCACCATCTTTCCTTGAACATAGGTCTCCTTAAAAAAGGAGTATGGTTCAATATGGGTCCACATCCATTCAAAACTTAGGAGCCTCCACCAATGCATTTACTTTTCTAGTAGTGGCCATGTGAATGGAGCAAACTGTCAAAGCAAAAGCTATTGACAAGGCTTGGCAACTGAGTAGACATGGGGGTAAAGGAGAGGGAAAAGTCAGGGGTGACAGATTATGTAACTAGTTTCTGGATAGACAGTGGTACCCTCAAGGAAATATGGAGGAAGGGTAGGTTTAGTGATGGAAGATAAGTTCTGCTTTAGAAGTGTTGATTTTTGAAATCGTGATTAAGGATTTCAGTTTTCTGGACATCTGCTAAAAGCTGATGAATTTTTAAATTGTCTTTTAATTTCATTTTTCAAAAGTAAGAAAATAAGGGGTACTGCTGTTTTGAATATGATTCTGACCAAAAGAGAGATCATTGCTGAAGCAGAAATGATACAAACTTTGGGGGAGGAAATGACTAGTCCATCTCAGAATTTGTAACGGAAAACAGGTTTAGTCAGATATTCACCTGAGACTTTGAGAGAACAAATTTCAGAATCCAGAGAAAAATAGAAAGGCTCTTGTAGTTTAAAATTATCCAGGGGAAGTCATCCCAAGTATAACAAGAAGAAGCCTCAAGATTGAAAATTATTCCGATGAAGAAAAGGGTGAACTTTGTGAAGAAAATTATGTGGACCCACAGGGAACTCAATGAAAACAAGATCAGTACAGGTGATAAAAAGCAAGGGCAGGAAATTAGGAAAAATCTTAGAACAATTAGTGCTAAGATGTGACAAGGTGCTGTAAGATGTATTAGTAAAACCCAGAATGAGCTGAGGCTGGTGATGGATAAATCATGCAAGCATTTGTGTGTATTTGTATATGCCAAAAACTGGAAATGCATAGACAAGTCTCTCTCATGAGGCCAACCCTGAGGGAGACATGTTCACACATAAAATATCCTCACTCAGCTGTGAAATGTTGCTGGTGTTTCTGAAGAATCTTTATCCTGCTTTTGGGAACTGTTGGTGATTCAGAGAATTGGAAAGATGTTCATAAACAGGTGGTTGTAAGTGCTTATGAGGTGATCAACCTAAAGGGCTATATGCATCCTGGGCCATTGGCTTGTCTGTGGCAGATCTGGCAGAAAGCATTATGAAGAATCTTAGGACAGTGCATCCAATTTCCACCATGATGCCTATATGGCATTAATGGGGATGTCTTCTTTAGTGTCTCATGTGTCTTGGGGCACAATGGCATTTCAGATGTGGTAAAGGTAAACCTGAATCCAGAAGAGGAGGGCCATTTAAAGAAGAGCACAGATACTCTTTGGGAATCCACAATTTTAAAGCCTTTTAATGTGCTGTCATTTTACTATCAAGAACTTGACAGTGGTTAAGGGGTTTTGCATGATGCGATTTTCAAATAGGTCAAATACTTCCTCTGATTAGTGATTGAATCCCGAAATGTCAACACACTCTAGTCTCTTCCTAAAGTTAGAAATGGGAATAGTACAGTGTGACTACTATTTGTTAAATCCTGTTGTTTGTGTATTATGTTCGATATGACTTGTACAGTCTTGGTGTCAAGCAGAACCAGTGCCCCACAAGTATATGACTACCTGCTTTGTATGTAGGTCCTACACAGAAGACAGCATTCCTGGATACAAACCACAGAAGTAATACTTTATTGATGTATTGATTACCTTCGTGCTCCCTTCTATTAGGGCTCTGTGGCATGGCCCCATGTATCATCTTTGCAGAGGACCTGATTTGTCTATATACACACGTGTATGTATATGTAAATTTCCATATTACATAAAAAGATCTATACATGTGCAACGATGCAACTAATTGCTCAAGTGTCATACTAACCCTAAGTACTGAATAAGCAAATAACTGATAAAAAAAATCCTCACTCAAATGTGTTTGTGATCTCATTGATTCAGGAGTTCCCTCAAACAACAATCAAGAGTCCGATCTTGACCTCTAACTCTTATCCCTTGTTTTCTTAAAAGTTTATCATTGGGTTTAGCTAATGAGCTAGAGCTTTTCCTTGATTTTTTCCTCTTTTGTGTGTCTATCTGTATACACATAATAAATTAAAAGTTATTTCTGGGAGTAGGGAGAGACAGTAGCTGGGGGTGGCTCAAGAAACCTCTTTTGAAGAAAGAGGAATTCTAAGAGATGGCTTTGTGGAGAAAATGTCCCAGGCACGGGGTACTGTGGAAATATAGGAAATAGACGACCATGTGTGAGAGAACAAAAGAGCTAGTTTTGTTGGACCGTAACATACACGAAGATGAATGATACAGACTAAGCCAAAAAAGTTCGATGTCAGATTGTGAAATGCTTTAAATGCCAAAGGGAAGAGTTTGCATTTGATTCTAGTGGTAATAGGAGGCAAGTGGAGTTTATTGAGCAGTAGACCTGTCTGACCTGTGATTTAGAAAAATCACTTTGGCAAGTATGTGGAAGATGCATTGGAAAGAAGAGCCACTTGAAGCTGGGAGAAAAATTAGGAGGCTAATGACCTAGCAAAGACTGAGAAGAGGTAGAGGAAAAACAGAATAGTGCCATGAAAACTCAGAGAAGAAAAATATCCAGGAGGATAGGGAGGCCAATAGTACTTAATGCTGCAGACAAGATGAGGATTGAGCAAAGACTATTAGGTCTGGCTGTTGAGAGGAGAGATCACTGATACCTTTAGGAAGAATAGTTTTAGTAATGAAGTCAGATTTCAAGGAGCTGAGAAGTGAAGTGGCAGTAAGCAACAGCTTTTTCTAAGAGTTTGTGAAAGCTGGAAAGAAACTTAAGACATTAGTGTTAGGGCATGGTAAGATTGAGTGAGGGATCTTTTTTTTATTTTAAAGGAAAGGAGTGATCTGAGCCTGTTTGTAAGCACAGCTAATGGGCTAGTAGAGAGAGATTGAAAATTAAAGGAAGTGAGGATGTGGGAATATGGGGTCAGCAGCATGAGTAGAGGGGTTAAACTGTATCTTCACAAGAAAGTAAAGGAGGGGAGGATGAAGGATGACGTGAAGAGAAGAGGGAGCCTGTAGGGAATGGCCTCTTATTTTTTCAGTTCAATGTGAGATAACATTAAGAGGTGCCAGTTTCTCTGCTGAAAGAGGAAGAGAGGTGTGTAGGAGGCTTGAGAGAATAGCTGCTGTGGGGAGTGAGATAGGGAATCAATTAGGAAAGAGTAAAAGGATTTCCTTGTAGCAGGGATTGCCTTGTAGGAAGGATTAGATAACAGTTTGTAGTGGAATCTGCACAGTTGTGTGATTTCCAGCACCATTCAGCAGTAGATGGTGGGAGTAATCCAGGGCTGGGGTGATAAATGAAAAGAAAAACAAAAAGGAAAAGAAGAGAGAAGACTTTTGCTCAGAATGGATAAGAACAATAATAGACATTAGAAAGAAGTAGGAACTATTCAATTGTTATTTTGCTTCTGTATTCACTAACTGGTTTTACCCTCCAATACTACTTAACTGCTTCTTGAGACAGTGTTGCTGATAATTGTCCATCTTAAGATTGTTTTTAAAATTAAAAAAAACAAACAACTAATCTCAAAGTGTGGGGGCTACTCATAGGTCTAATTCCATAAATGATCAAGACCGAAGCTTTGACCTGCTCCATTTCTGACTTGGTCCAGTTTGACCTTCCTTAAGCAACCTTGTGCATACCTCTTCCTAAATATCTGGTATACTGATCCTGAACTTAGTGTAGACATCTGACTTGGCTCACTGCAGCTCCCAACTCCTAAGCTCAAGAGATCCACTAGCTTCAGTGTCTGTGGCAACTGGTATTACAGACATGTGCCTCCATGCTTGGCCTTCTTAAGAGTTTTGTAATTAATTTATATTCTACTCTGCTTGTTGCTAGCCAGAGGAATCTTGGCA